CAACTCAGGTCCTGATTGGCACAAAAGGTACAAGGGGCGCGGCGTTGAAGTGCGAGTAGGCGTGGTAAAACTATCCAAACAGTCCTTGGTCAATGAAACTGAGTGCTCGAGGGCTGGCGCTCTGGATGAGGTGGGCGTTCTGTAGCGGGACGGGAGGGGTCTCTTCCACTTAAGCAGCAGAGTGAGATATTTCGACTCGAGCGCAGTGAGATGTGTAGCGCAACACAGTGATACCTGCTAATATCATTGGAGACAAGTTTGGAAAACAAGTGCTGAAGTTTGGAATAAAAGGTCTTTGTGGTTCTCCAAGTGATACATTTGGTCGGACAAAGGAAAGCGTAACGAGTTTCCCAAACTTTGGAGAGAGAGGAGTCTAAACCTGTTTTCTTCCCCGACATTAGGACCCTGAGAGAGGCTGCATGAAGAGTGGATAATGTTTTTATTGGATTTTAATCTGGACATTATTTTCCTAAAATGTCCTCAAATTATTTCGCTTCCAACTGCTTTTATTGTATAGAGAGACGCGGTGACCGAGGAACGGGCGACTTCACCTGTCATGCGGAATACAAACTGTAGGAATAGGAAATTGTTTCTGGATTAAGCCTGCGGTTACAGTTGTTACATTTATTGGCGCGTGACCTAACTGCAAGTGAAGGGGAAATTAATTTTCAACTCATGTAATTGTAAAGCTTGGTGAATGATTTACAATTCGACCTCTCTATAGCCTCGACTTGGTGCTTTAGTCGATCTTTCGAAATCCTCCCAAAGTTTTAATTGATTCGTTGGATAAAACAACAGTCAACGTTTATTTAGCTTTTTTTCCGGACCTTTACTGCATTTATAATCACCATGGTTCATTCGAAAGGTGCTCATGCGGTTGGAACAGAAACTTGCGGTCTGGAATGACATTTGTCGGTGATTTGTAGAACAGAGGACTCTGGACATGCTGCTGGAGCAATTACGCTCTCCTGGGATTTCATATTTCCGAGATGCAGTCATAAATTATAGGAAGAACTGAGCTGAGAAAATACTCAAGTCTACAGCACAATTTCAGTAATATTTCTACCTATATTTATTTCCGGAAATATCCCACTTTCCAATGGCGACCACAGTAAAACCCCAGCTATGCGGTGTCGTCCGTTGGCTGCTCGCGTTGCTCCTCTCCCAGCTGCCCCGGCTCGCGCATGCTGCCTCCAAGGATATAGTGTGTGAGCCCATCACGGTGCCCATGTGTAAGGGCATCGGATACAACCTCACCTACATGCCCAACCAGTTCAACCACGACACCCAGGAGGAGGTGGGCTTGGAGGTCCATCAGTTCTGGCCCTTGGTCCGCATCCACTGTTCCCCAGACCTGCTATTCTTCCTGTGTTCCATGTACACCCCAATCTGTCTGCAGGACTACAAAAAGCCCCTGCCCCCCTGCCGCTCTGTGTGTGAGCGGGCCAAGCGAGGCTGCTCCCCACTCATGATCCAGTACGGTTTTGAGTGGCCAGAGAGGATGAGCTGTGAGCAGCTGCCTCAGCTGGGAGACGAGACTCTGTGTATGGACCAGAACAGTAGCGAGACCACGACCCTCTCCCCTCTCTTGCCCAAACCCACCCCCAAAGGCACCCGCCGCAGGCAGCCCGCCCCCAAGCCCCCTGTCCCCCAGGAGTGTGACCGGGACTGCCGCTGTCGGGATCCTCTGGTGCCCATCAAGAAAGACGCCCACCCCTTATACAACCGGGTCCACACTGGCCCTGTGGATAACTGTGCTCAGCCCTGCCACCACCCTTACTTCTCCCAGGACGAACGCACCTTCACCACCTTCTGGATCGGCCTGTGGTCCGTCCTGTGCTTCGTCTCCACCCTGACTACCGTGGCCACCTTCCTCATCGACATGGAGCGCTTCCAGTACCCTGAGAGACCCATCATCTTCCTGGCTGCCTGCTACCTCTTTGTTTCCCTGGGCTATATTATACGACTAGTGGCGGGTCACGAGAGGGTGGCGTGCGCTGGGAGCGGAGACCAGCAGCACATCCTGTATGACACCACGGGCCCCGCCCTGTGTACCCTGGTCTTCCTGCTCATCTACTTCTTCGGCATGGCCAGCTCCATCTGGTGGGTGGTGCTCTCCCTCACCTGGTTCCTGGCCGCGGGCATGAAGTGGGGGAACGAGGCCATCGCTGGTTACTCTCAGTACTTCCACCTGGCTGCCTGGCTGATCCCCAGCGTCAAGTCCATCGTGGTCCTCGCTCTGAGCTCTGTGGACGGAGACCCAGTGGCGGGTATCTGCTACGTGGGGAACCAGAGTCTGGAGAGCCTGCGGGGGTTTGTGTTAGCTCCCCTGGTGGTCTACCTCTTCACTGGCTCCCTGTTCCTCCTAGCGGGCTTTGTGTCTCTGTTCCGCATCCGCAGCATCATCAAACAGGGAGGGACCAAGACGGATAAACTGGAGAAGCTGATGATCAGAATCGGATTGTTCACGGTGCTCTACACGGTTCCTGCTACTATAGTCGTAGCCTGTCTGGTGTACGAGCAGCACTACAGGCCTGGCTGGGACCGGGCTCTATCCTGCTCCTGTCAGGCTGAGAGACAGAGGCTGGGTCTGGGGCCCGACTACGCCATCTTCATGTTGAAATACTTCATGTGTCTGGTGGTGGGGATTACATCCGGCGTGTGGATCTGGTCCGGGAAGACCCTGGAGTCGTGGAGGAGGTTCACCGCTCGCTGCTGCCCCTGCTGGGCCTCCAAGCCCACCGCACCCCCCTCCATGTACAGTGAGGCCAGTACGGCCCTCACGGGACACCCCAATGCGGCCCTGCCACCAGGGTCCTACCACAAACCTGCCCTGCCCTCACACGTGTGAATGGGACCCTTGAGGGTAGAGGAGCCACGAATGCACGTGTCCAGTGATAGCCCCCCCCTGTCCTATGTGTGACTGTGAACATGCCTCACCTGGACATTGGACAAGATGGTGACTGTGATAAAGCACCATACAAATCTCTGGAAGGAAAAGGGACAGAGGACAAGGAGATAACCAAGTAATTCCACAGGTTGTAAATACAACATTTATCGACCAACCAGCCTCATTAGCTCTTCTTCTTGGAACACACAGAACAGACACAAATGTGTTTTAACAGGAGAGAAATGGGACGTTTGTATCATATGAACACTGTGGTACTTCTGGTGCGCCTTGCTGCTTTGGTAAAGTACCACTACTTCAAAAGACCCACTAGAACATTCTCTCAGAGCGGGAAAATTGAGATGTGTTTTTATGTGTATAAACCAGTACTCCTGTCGATCTCTCTGGACCATTAGAGATGACTCACTATTTATTCCTGTATATATATATATATGATGCTCTATAAAAGACTATGGATTGAGCTGGCCCAGAATGCCCCCATTATCCAGGGTATTATTCATTGTGGACACTGGGTCCGTAATGGGTGAAAACAAAACAACTCGAGTAACACTGATGAAAATATTTAATTTTTATTTTCAGCACGATCCCCAGTGATTTGAATCACAATATTCTGTATGAATCAAGTACGTTTGGTGTATCTGTGGTATGGATGCGTTTGTATGCTGCTCGAGTTGAATCAATCAGTATGTACCAATGCACACAATATTTGCCCTATTCTGCCTGGTAAAATCCAGCTTGGTTGACTGGCCGGTCTGTGAACAACCTAGCCGGTCAGTTCAATAGTAGGATGAGGATCTCTAGCCCAACTGTTGACCAGTTGCTGGACTGGATTTATGAGGTAATTTGAGTATGGATGTGTAGCAGTGTACCAGTAAACGACAGTTATAAAGTCTATACTTTTCTCAGAGTACTATTTTCGTTTAGAAATCAATGTCAAAGGTAGCCTCTAAAAACCACATACCCCATAATAGCAATTGCAGTGAATTTAGTGCTTTGGAATAGCCTTGATATAGAACATGTTGTAAGCGGTTTGGAGGGACTACTGTCTGTCTGTCAGATCAGTCTCCCAGGCCAGAAGAGAGTAGTCTCAAAGTGCACCTGGCTTTCGCTCCTATGCTATTGTTACTACCTACCCCTAGTGGTACACACAGGAACTGTTCACACCAACCCAATCGTGAATTTATGTATCCCCTACGGCTCTGTATACATTTTCAATGACCGTGTCAGTACTCATCTTGTGAGTTTTACAAGTCAGAGGTTTACAAAAAAGGGCAAAACATTTCTGTTCAATGTACTGTCTTCTCACAAGGGATATACTGTCATCTATAGGAATTGTGGTGGACAGCCAGAGCATGGTTAACTCTGGGTGAACCAAAACCTTGTCCAGTTGCCGTTTTCTGCCTTTCTACTGTTGTGCTTGTCCAAGTTGTGTCGTGTGCTTCATTGTTTTTCTAATCAGACCAATGTGTAAGTGGTCCAGTGTCTGTCTGTTTAATTTATTAGCATGTTTCATCTGTGTGTGAGTTATACCCCATCATTTGTACATTTGCTTTGGCATCCTTCCTTAGACAAGTCTGGACTGCAGCTTTGTGTCTACTTAATTCTTCAAGAATGAAATGTCAGATTAAAAAAAAAAAATAGATATTTATGAAAATGCAGTTCTCTTACTCTTGTTTCATTTGTCTCTGACTGGTAGAGAATAAAACTGTGGACCAATCTGTTTCTGAGTATGTGTCATTTTATGTAAAAATGTATGTTTTACTTTAGACAATGCGCTGTGCCACTCTTGCATAGTCTTGTCTCCACTCCAATGAAAGTCACAATGATTTGTTTCATGATTAGTGTTTATTTAAAAATACTCCACCTGCAAATTATTACAGAAAAATGTCACAGCTAGCAGCCTACATAGTAAGCAAAAAAAAACTAAAAACTAAACAGAAAAAGACTCAAGTCTCTTTTCTTTTCTCTCTGTTGTGAATAAGTTATTTTGCACAGGGTCTGGGATCCGGCATCGGAGTATGGCTGTCCAATAAGAGAACAGCGTTCAAGTGACAGATTTCCAATGAGAGAACAGCGCTGTAGTGTGGCTGGCCTATGAGAGTACAGCATTGGAGCGGTGGATGCCCACCAGGTTGTCAGCGCTTAAGGACCTCATGGCTGCTCGGCTCAGATCCTTGTACTTGTCCTCACACAGTCTGGAGATGGCCTGAACACACACACACACACACACACACACACACACACACACACACACACACACACACACACACACACAGGGATGAGTGACTAGTCACTGTGGCTTCATACCTAATGCACTGGTTAAATTCCCTTTTTACAATTCCTATGTCTCGCTCTACCTGCTACTATCTTTGACGTATTCTCCAACCTCTACTAATACCTGGAAGCTCCATCATAGCCCTCTCCCACCCACCACCTTTTTACTACCCCTCATTGCTGTACCTCCAGTTTCTGTGCCCTCTCGTTGCCGAGTGGCTCCAGGGGGAAGCTGAGGTTGTTGTCGTCGGCCAGAGAACGCAGGTCGAAGTAGTACTTGGCGTAAACACTGGCTGGAACATTGATGTTGAACTGCAGCAGCTCCAGGAAATGGCGCTCCATCTCGTTCCTGACACACACACAGACAGACAAAGAAACATGGTTAATATACACATTCCTAGTAAAAGTTGCTCTTAGGCACAGCTTTAGGATCAACCTCCCCAAATGAAATCCTAACCCTGACAATCAGTGGGGGAGAAATGCCAAATGGACCTTAGATCAGTGATAGGGGTATCTTTATCCACAGGTCAGCCCTCATAGGGCATCAGTCTAATCAATAGCAAATGCCACTTGTCTTTCCCTGGAGCAGCAAGGAGAAGGGTGCATGAGGGCTATTCACTCTAACTGTCCTGCAGTGAAGACCATACTGGCTCTCTACAGGTTTATCATGTCTCTCCCTGTACAGATCCCCTTCATCATCCTCATCACCACGACAATGAATAAGAGCTGCAAGCCGCTCACCACGGAGACAGCATCCAGGATGCTTTGTGGGAAAGGTGACATGAGAGGGCCAGGGTGGCTGAAGGCTGGGGTGTGTGTGTGTGTGTTTGTGTGTATTGGAAGGATGGTCTCCCAGGGAAACTAATGGAGCGGGCGAGGGCTGGGGCCATTATGTAGGAGCGGTGAGAGCCACTCCAGACCCTCCCTCCCCTTTCCTGCCACCACCTCACCCCGCCAATCCCTGGCCCTCGGCCCAGCTCACAAAGAGCACTTCAATGGAGGAGATGAAACTAGACTGCAGACCGAGTACACACACACACAGAAAAACATAAACACGTACACAAGTGCACACACTTAAAAAAACAAGAGACATACAACACACTCCACCCCAACCCACTCTAAAACCTACTAGAATGATGAGCAGTAGTATAGTGAGGAGCAGCCTACTGATTGCTTTGAGATTGCCTTCTGTATACAACCTCACTCAGCCTCCCTGCCTCTCTCCCTCTGTAGTCTCCTCTCAGTCTGATCCTAAAGCAGGGGCCCACATCACACAGCCCTGATCAGAGCTAGAGACTAGACAGGACTACTGCACCAGTCTACAGACAACAGCCCAATTAATGATCATCAGACCAGGGAGGGAAGGCGGCGGCGGTCTACGTCTGTTCTCCACGTCTGTTCTCCACCTGACATGACGACTCAAAATAATGACTACCAATGAGCCGCCTCCTTCAATGTGAAAAGAAGATATCTGAACCAGCACAGTACGGTTCAGGTTGGCACAATAGTGAGAAAAGGGTGTCTCCCCCCCCCACACACAGTATTGTAATGACTCTATATAAGTGATATAACTGTGGCAGACGTACATGTCCTCCACGGTGATGTCTTTGAGGATCTGGCAGTAATCTACGTTCCAGACAGCCTGGTCATCCCACACCTTGGAGGCCAGCAGGATGGCTCCCAGTACGATAAGCTTCCAGTTACACGGACAGATGTCCATCTCAGCGTAGGTCAGCAGACGCTCCAGGTACACCTGGTGAGGTAGAGGGGTCAGAGATGTTAAGGTATGCATGTGCTGATAAACCTGTGGTGGCTATTTCACTTCAGAAATGTGATTGGCACAACAAAGAAAATCAGTAGGCACAATCAGTGGGTAACGGCATGTTATTGATGATATGCAAATGTGAGTAATAGTACTAGACATGCTTGATTTATTAGGACCAATCACACTGTAATAATCAAATGCAGGTCTACTCTATTCATTGATATAAGGTTCTGTTCACTTGACTTGCATTGACGATAGCTCAGCCTTCAACACCATAGTACCCTCCAAGCTAATCATTAAGCTCGAGGCCCTGGGTCTGAACCCCGCCCTGTGAAACTGGGTCCTGGACTTCCTGACGGGCCGATCCTTCCTTCACTGATCCTCAACACAGGGGCCCCACAAGGGTGCGTGTTCAGCCCACTCCAGTACTCCCTGTTCACCTATGACTGCACGCCTCCAACTTAATCATCAAGTTTGCAGACGACACAACAGTAGTAGGCTTGATTACCAACAATGACAAGACAGCCTACAGGGTGGAGGTGAGGGCCCTGGCGGAGTGGTGCCAGGAAAATAACCTCTCCCTCAACAAAACAAAAGGAGCTGATCTTGGACTTCAGGAAACAGCAGAGGGAGCAAGCCCCTATCCACATCGACGGGACCGCAGTGGAGAAGGTGGAAAGCTTCAAGTTCCTCTGCGTACACGTCACTGACAATCTGAAATGGTCCACCCACACAGACAGTGTGGTGAAGAAGGCACAACAGCGCCTCTTCAACCGCAGGAGGCTGAAGAAATTCAGCTTGGCCCCTAAGACCCTCACAAACTTTTACAGATGCACAATTGAGAGCATCATGACGGGCTGTATCACCGCCTGGTATGGCAACTGCACCGACCGCAACCGCAGGGCTCTCCAGAGGGTGGTGCGGTCTGCCCAACGCATCACCGGGGGCAAGCTACCTGCCCTCCAGGACACCTACAGCACCCGATGTCACAGGAAGGCCAAAACGATCATCAAGGACATCAACCACCCGAGCCACGGCCTGTTCACCCCGCTATCATCCAGAAGGCGAGGTCAGTACAGCTGCGTCAAAGCTGGGACCGAGAGACTGAAAAACAGCTTCTATCTCAAGGCCATCAGACTGTTAAATAACTACCACTAGCCGGCTACCACCCGGTTACTCAACCCTGCACCTTAGAGGCTGCTGCCCTATATACATAGACATGGAATCACTGGCCACTTTAATAATGGAACACTAGTCACTTTAATAATGTTTACATACTGCTTTACTCATCTCATATGTATATACTGTATTCTACTGTATTTTAGTCAATGCCACTCAGACATTGCTTGTCCTAATATTTATATATTTCTTAATTCCATTCTTTTACTTTTAGATTTGTGTGTATTGTTGTGAATTGTTAGATACTACTGCACTGTTGGAGCTAGGAACAAAAGCATTTCGCTACACTCACAATAACATCTGCTAAAAATGTGTATGTGACCAATAAAATTTGATTTGCTGTGCTTTGTCAATGGTTTCTATTATTCTGCTGCCCTCTGGTGGTACATTAGTGCAGATGCAGGTTAATACAGCAATACCTAGTGGAATATATATCTACAGTATCCTTTCACATTTGTTGATTAATCATGTATTAGCTGCTGATACATGGGTGTATTATGGGTTTTGATTACGATTGTGTTGTTAATCACTGGACTGGACTCACCAAGGTGACGATGGCACACTCTGCAGTGAGCTGTGCAGCGCTGAACAGAGTTCTGACAAAGCGGTAGATGAGTTTGTGCTCGGGGTCTGTACGAGAGTAGTCATCTGGAACCTGCTCTCTCTGAAGGGAGAAGACAGTGTTAGACACAGATACAATATACACCAGTGGAGGCTGCTGAGGGGAGGACAACTCATAATAATGGCTGGAATGGAGTCAATGGAATGGCATCAAACCATGTGTTTGAAAATATTTAAGTAATTTCTCAATTTAGGTGAACTAACATCAAACCTAATGGGTTTATGCCGAGTTTCCTACTAGCTAAACTAAATCATATTCAATCCTCCTGCAGTGGTGTGTTATGCTGAAGTTGGAGCTAAAGGGGCACTGGTCTGGGCTATAGCATACAGTTGCAGTGTAAGGTCTAGAAGGGAGTGAGGAGACTAGCTGATGCGAGATATTGATGTAGACAAGGGCAGACACACCAGTACTGCCAACAGTACATCCACTGCAGACCTCTGTTTGGATGTAAACCTATATTAGAAGCTATTCTTTGGAATACATAAGATTCTGCAAACCCAGAGTGGATTATGGCAAAACTGGAACTGCCCACTCACCGATAAGGGGTGCATCTTCTCATCGAAAATGTCCAGTGACCTGTCGGAGTCCCTGAGAAAGACAGAGAAAGAGTGTGAACACCTCTACTATGAACCACACTGTCCCTAACCCCAATTCACAGACATTTTGCCAGGCCCAGAGACCACCAACAGATCCATAATACCTTCTACCCAACGGAACAAGTCATAACACGGCCACTCACCTGTTTTTAATGTGGTAGTATATCGCTAGTGTAACACTGGAAGAGGAGAAAGACAGAATTCATTAGAGCAGTGTTCAACTTGAAAAAGGTACATTTCCTGTATGTGCATATATGAAGGAAGCAGGTACCCACCATTTTATCGTGTTTTTCATGTTAGGCTGGCTGACCGTGCTGTCATCTATAAAGATGGTGGAACAGGAACTGTACTTCTTAGAGAGAGGGCCAGGAGAGGTCTGCAAAATGAAATGTGACATTCAGTGGAAGTTGTCTTGGAAGTCAGACAATGCTCTATTGAACCCTATCCCTTTGAGGTAATTGATGCAAACACTAGCCTGTGGTGGCCATAGCCAAATAATTACATCACCAATTGGTTGCAGTCACTCCTGACAAACTACTTCCAAGGTAAAAGGTTTGGTTTGAAATGTGGGTGAACTAGGCTATGTAATCTTGGGTCAGGGTAGTCACTCTATAATACAGAGCTGTAGTTAAGGCAGGACAGTGGACACACATAAAACCTTCATACCAGGTCTCCTGTTTAATTGTGTTTGTCTTCTAGCTGACTAGACACCACAGCCACTTACTACAGGGGCTACAGTCTGTTCTGTTCACCACAAGCACATAGGCTACATGAACACACACACACAGAGTAGGGTATTTGACCAGGTCAAAAAGGCTTGGCACTTAGCTAGTTTCCACAGTGGGGGTATAATATTATAGAAGGCAGAGTAAACCAAGGTAAACAGGGAAGCCATAACACCAGCCAACCCTCTGCTCAAATCCTAGAAAAGCTGACCAATCAGAGTTACATTTGCATATGTATGAATTTGGTGTTGTCCTCCACAGAGTCGGGACACTAAATGTTTTGGTGTCTCATCTGCCAGAGCCACAGTGCATCCGATGACCCCAGGTGACAATGACAACATACAGCTAACTCTGGAGCATGTGATGAATGCAAGCTCACACACACACACACACACTTCACATAATTGTCATTGGTTGACACAATCTCAACCTAACCATTAAATACTTACATGACCAACATGGTTTATGTGATTGCTTTTCCTCTTGTCTCGCACTGGAAGGAAAAAGAAAATAGGCCATGTCAGACAAAACAGTCAGGGAAAGCATGAGTAACAGCCACATTGAAAGGGAAAGCATGAGTAACAGTCACATTGAAAGGGAAAGCATGAGTAACAGTCACATTGAAAGGGAAAGCATGAGTAACAGTCACATTGAAAGGGAAAGCATGAGTAACAGTCACATTGAAAGGGAAAGCATGAGTAACAGCCACATTGAAAGGGAAAGCATGAGTAACAGCCACATTGAAAGGGAAAGCATGAGTAACAGTCACATTGAAAGGGAAAGCATGAGTAACAGTCACATTGAAAGGGAAAGCATGAGTAACAGCCACATTGAAAGGGAAAGCATGAGTAACAGTCACATTGAAAGGGAAAGCATGAGTAACAGTCACATTGAAAGGGAAAGCATGAGTAACAGTCACATTGAAAGGGAAAGCATGAGTAACAGTCACATTGAAAGGGAAAGCATGAGTAACAGTCACATTGAAAGGGAAAGGATAAGTAACAGTCACATTGAAAGGGAAAGCATGAGTAACAGTCACATTGAAAGGGAAAGCATGAGTAACAGTCACATTGAAAGGGAAAGCATGAATAACAGTCACATTGAAAGGGAAAGCATGAGTAACAGTCACATTGAAAGGGAAAGGATAAGTAACAGTCACATTGTGCTTATGAGAGAGCAAAGGAGAGTCACTTACAGTAGCCTAAGTATCATCTCTCTACATAGCGTGCTAGAGCAGAGACATTGGTGGTGGAGAGGGCGAGTTACCGCCGTACCAAGTAGCTAAAGTGCATAAGACGAGAGTGTGAGACGTGTGCCGTATGGGCTCTCGTGACATCATGATCATGTCTCTTGTGTGATGATGTGATGCGAGCAGAGTAGATTACTTACACTCACAGTCTGTCTGGGACTTGCTGAGGAAGATGGTGCTGGCTCTGGCATGGTCCGATGGGTGGGACTCCTGGGCCAGTTCTGGAACACACAAATACACCATGGACCAATACAAAACAGAGTAGATAACTGCCTGTGTAAACTATCTTAGGTCACCTGAGGCCAGTGAGAGGAAAATGAGACCTGATGCTCCATAAATGACTAAAATGTAAATGTAATACAGACAGTACAGTGATCTGTACAGGACGTCACTGAAACAATTGAACCATTCCTGTACTGCCGTATCTGGGATGAATGCATGCCATTACCCAATTAGATGAATGCAAATGTGTGTAGGAAAGCCAGGCTATGTAACCAAACATACTCTTGGACAGCAGCATTGCATACTAAATTACGCAGATCGATTTGATGAGCTCATTTGCAACCACACCACATAACGGGTTCACTACACACAGGTTCAATGGTTAGGCTTAGCAATTAGACACCCTGAACCAACCATAATGCATTAACAGCTGCCTCTCTGTCTGGGATTGTGAGCCCCTGGTCTGGAACGTGGCAGGCAGGGCCAGGGGGTATCAGGTCAGGTGGGTTGGCTTAGCAGAGCCAGCGTGACCCCTGCCCACTCAGGCTGTGGCTCTGTGGCTGTGGCAAGGGCGCGGGGATGGTGGTATGGGACTGGCAGGGAGGGGGCAACAATGAGGCCTTTGTCTGGGGTCGCTGGAGAACACTGGGTCCTCTCTCCTTAAGCTCCACCCACACTGGCCAGCATGCTGAGAACCAGAAGGGGGAGCAGAGAGGAGGGGTGCCCGTGCCAGTCATGCCTGCCCATCTGCAGACATGCTACCGAACAGAGTGTGTGCTTTGCAGAGCATAGAGAAGCATCATGGACAACTTGGACCAACCGGTAATATAAGCAATTTTACATTACAATAGGCCTTTAATCTGTTACATTCACTGATAAAATGGACTCAATTTGACCACTAAAAAATAATATCTGCCACTCTGCAAATGGTGGCCCTCAAGAGCTTTTGACAGTGATTTGGTGGTCCCCGAAACAGAAAAGGTTGGGAACTGCCAAGGTAGACTAGGTTACAACACAAAATACAGCGCGACATACACACTTCTGCCACTACCTATCAGATAAATGGCACTCAGATTAGAGTATGTCAGACACCATCATGTGATTACTGCATCCTAGATCAGATGGAGCCTCAGCTCCCCTACCCAGCCACACAGCTCCTCCCTCCACCAGCCTCCACCAATCACGCCCTGACCTCTGCATGGACTGGAGTCTTCCTGCCGGGGAATCCAATGCACGCTGAGCACTGTCTGTGCCCATCATGGTATTTCTGTACCGGCTCCACTGCTCCAGTTTAAGAGGTGTGCCACTGCCATGTGATGCCAGGGAATGGGATGTGGAGTGGAGTTGGAGCCAGGCGGGCATATCTCAACACTAAGGGGGGCAAGCCGTGGTTGGCATGTTACCCACTACTGCAGTAGTAAGCCTATATGAGAATCTGCCATGCCCCTGGACCTACTACTCTGCTGCAGTAGTGGGTATAGGTCTGGATCATAACCAGTTTTCATTCAAACTGGATACAGGATTACTTCACTCCCCCCCCAGGACACTTGTTCACGTTGTCTATAGGTTCTGCACGTGTGCTGCACAAAAAAAAAAGTCCCTGATATTCACACCTCTACTCAATACAACACATTGAATTTAAACTTCACACTTAAGTGTTTCCCCTAGGATTTTTTTCAGCAGCAGTGGCAGAGTTAGCATGGGGGGTGGCAGGGCGTGGTAGTGGCCAATGGCGCAGTCTCCGACCGCAAATTTTAGAGGCCCTCCTCTTGGCCGCAGGCCCTCCTCTTGACCTCATGCGGTCTCTTAGACAAATTTCAGTCAGGTTTCCGACCTCACCACAGTACTGAAACGGCCCTGATTAAAGTTTTAAATGATATACGGCTGAATACTGATTCTGATAAAGTAACAGTTCTGGTTCTATTAGATCTCAGTGCAGCATTTGACACTGTCGATCATGGAACACTTATAGATAGGCTGGAAAAGTGGGTAGGACTCTCCGGGACAGTCCTTGATTGGTTTAGATCTTATCTAGATGGCCGGAGTTACTTTGTCACCATTGGTAATCATGAATCTGATAGGGTGGCTATGACATGCGGAGTTCCACAGGGATCAGTTCTCGGACCGATTCGGTTTAATCTCTATATGCTACCGCTGGTCCAAATTTTACAGAACAACTACATTAACTACCACAGCTATGCTGATGATACTCAAATATATATGGCTCTCGAACCGTATGACAACAGCTCAATAGACTCTCTATGTCACTGTATAGAGCACATAAATACCTGGATGAACCAAAATTGTCTACAATTAAACCAAGATAAAACTGAGATTATTGTGTTTGGCAACAAAAATAAACAAGTATTAGTAAAGAGCTGGATTCTAGGGTCCTTAAAACCAGCGATCAAGTGCGTGTTCTGATAGACTCAGACCTCACATTTAACAGTCATATCAAAGCGGTCACCAAAACAGAATTCTATCATCTAAAAAATATAGCCAGAATCAAAGGCTTGGTGTCCCAAAAAGATCAAGAGAAGCTCATCCATGCTTTTATCTCTAGTAGGGTTGACTACTGTAATGGCCTCTTAACAGGACTCCTGAAAAAGACTAAAAAAGCTGCAGCTCATTCAGAATGCAGCTGCTAGAATGTTAACCAGTACCAAGAGAACGGAGCACATCACTCCGGTTCTTAAATCTTTACATTGGCTTCCAGTCAGTTACAGAATTGATTTCAAAGTGGTGCTTTTAGTTTATTTATCTTTGAATGGTTTAGGACCCGAGTACATGTCTGATATGTTTGAAGAATATAAACCGAGCAGTTCTTAGATCCATGAACACAGGTCAGCTAGTAGAGCCCAGAGCCCAAACTAAACATGGAGAAGCTGCATTTAGCACTGATGCTGTACACAACTGGAATAAACTACCAGAAGATCTTAGATGTGCCCCAAACGTATCCATTTTTAAATCCAGGTTAAAAACACTTCTTTTCACGTGCCTACGACTGAGCACTTAAACTTAACCACACTGTTTAGCCTTATAGCTTCCTATGTTTTTATTCGATTTTTAATCTTTATATGTTTTTTTTATTATGATGTTTTCATTATTTTTGATAAACATCTTTGTAAAGCACATTGAATTGCTTAGATGTATGAATTGTGCTATATAAATAAACTTGCTTGCTTCAAATTGGTGAATATCGACGAAAAGTGGCGAGTTTGCATCCGTATCACTATACTTAGGTGCCGATACAATTTGTATTACGATTCTATAGGTATTATGATTCAATACTGTGATTTTATTGGTCCAAACATTGATCACCATATGTCTGCTGCAGAGAGACAAGAGAGAGCCATGAGAAAACAACGTACTGAAAACAAATTGGCTCCCTATTTAAAATGAAGATGAGAACAAGTTATGAACAAAAAAAAATACTGGGAGTTTTGGTGCAGTCAACTAGTGCAAAAATAATATTGCGATATGCAACTATCGATTTTTCCCCCCCATCACTAGTAATCAGCCATCAAGTAAGAACGATTATAGGCTTCTTTACTGTCTCCTTGTGCAGAAATGTGCGTTGAGCCCTAGGCTCTAGGTGGAAGGGACAGCAGTAGTAGACAGGCAGGCAGAGCAGACAGCATTAATAAACGCTCTATTGATTATTAGGGCCATTGCTGCAGCTGTAGAGGAAAGTCCTTGCTGTGAGATCAATGGCCTATTGGCCTTCACAGTCCAGACAGCAGGATGGGTGGGCTGCCTGAACCAGGGTGAGCCGGCTGTGATGGTGATGTAGTCTATTATGCTCCAACGTGTCTCCGGCGCTAGGCCGAAGATGAAGAGCGCAAGTCTCTGAACATGGTGACTGCGCTCTAAAACGTTTCATTTCCTGGCTCTCACAAGACAGACAACACTTTGGCATGAGTGGCCCTTATCAGGTGATCTCCCCTCAGTTCAGTCTACACCTCTTTATCCTCCACCTACAGCTGGTCCTAGACCTGTGATGAAAAGCTGGAGGACTGCCTTTATAATAATACTGAGCGATTAGCGCTTTTTGAGGTCGGTTCGGTTATTAAAAAATAATCAAGATTTTTGATTTCGGTTTCGATAATTGTTTTTAAACATTAAATGCACTATGCATTATGTGTGTTGAATGCTGTAACACAGAATAAAACAATTAATACAAGTCCCATGATGGTAGTGACTGCCCTACCCATGACTGCTTATCACTTATTAACCATCAGTTATTCACATTTCTTTAATAAAATATTTCAGTTGTGTATATTACATTTGTTTTATTTGATAACTTTATTATTTCATTCCAAGTCATCATCTCATCTCTATAGAGCTGCTGCCTATGCTGTCTGACAAAATCACTATTTTAGTAGTTCAAAGTAAATAAAGCATACTTTTATAACTGCTGAATACCAACTATCAATCACTTAGATAATGTATTTTCAGGTAAAGATACCTCACGAAAAAACTGCTCTCTTGATCAAACATTCTTCTGTCTCCTATGTAGCAGGCGTAAAAGAAACAGACCGGACAAGTTTAGCAGTGCATTGGATTATGGTCATTGTAGTTAATTATCACGTTTCCTGCACTAATCTATGTAGAACATTGGCCTGTTGGAAACCACAACTCCCTACTACATCACACCGTTTGAGCTTGATCTGATTTATCTCTAGAGAAACTGCAGCACACCGAGCTCACAGAAAAAAAGACGAACAAAATGGAATTCAAATAATTGAACCTAAGTCGGTCAATTAGTTATTTAAAAACCGAAAAATAACCAACATTTCGGTTAAATCGCTCAGCACTACTTCATAAGGACACAAAGAGGGACTGACCATCTAACTCTGACCCAGGGTCAGCCTTACAACAGCTGGGTCCACCACACTAGGCTTAGTGCTAGTAGACTGGCAGGCCCTCTCTCTCTGGAGTCAGAAATAAACCAGGGGAGCTGGGGAGTGGGGAAAGTGCTCTCTCAAGGGAATGCCTCCGTCTGTTACAGTAGGGTGGGTGAGGGGTTGCAGTGATCAGTGGATATATCAAGGATTCCTTCATCTGTTTATGGCAATGACTGCTAAAACAAGACATCCTTGTAACATTGCTGCAATTCTTCTTTCATGAGGAGGATATCCCAAGCTGAAAGGCAAGTAATGAAATCACATGGGTGTCATCCATAGACACAAGGGGTCTCACTGAGGCTTAAAATAGTTATACTGTAGCTACATAACACTGCTTCTCAGAGAACAGTGTTCATAGTATTGGTTTTAAACAGCTTTTCCACTTGTATCTGACGTGTGAGTGAGTGAGAGAGAGAGAGAGAAGCAGCTGTCCTGTGGTATCATGTCGTCTGGATGCAAGGGATATCTGGGAGATTTGGGGAATAGATTATTGGGGGGTCTCTGCCATACTCCACCAGCCAGCCAGAACATTTTTTACATTTTAGTCATTTAGCAGACGCTCTTATCCAGAGCGACTTACAGTTAGTGAGTGCATACATTTTCATACTGGCCCCCCGTGGGAAACAAACCCACAACCCTGGTGTTGCAAGCGCCATGCTCTACCAACTGAGCTACAGGGGACTACACGCAAATGGCACCCTATGCCATAGTGCAGTACTTTTGACAAGGGCCCATAGGGCTCTGGTAGTACACTAAATGTGGTCCTTTGTAGCTCAGTTGGTAGAGCATGGAGCTTGTAACGCCAGGGTAGAGGGTTCAATTCCCGGGACCACCCATATGTAAAATGTATAAATGCATGACAAAGTCACTTTGGATAAAAGCATCTGGTAAATGGCATACACTCACTAGCCAGTATATTAGGTACCCTCATTTACTACTGGGTCAGACCCCCCTCCCCCCCCCTCCCCTCCCCTCCCCTCCCCTTACCTCCAGAACAGCCTGAATTCTTAGGGGCATGGACATGTTGCTCAATTGGTATCAAGGGACCTAACGTGTGCCAGGAAAAGATACCCCACACCATTATATCAGCCTGTACCGTTGAGACCAGGCAGGATGGGGCCATGTTGTAGATACTGGAACCAGCGCACCTGGCACAGACAACCATACCACACTCAAAGTTGCTTAGGTCACTCGTTTTGCCCATTCTAACGTTCAATTGAACAGTAACTGAATGCCTTGATGCCTGTCTGCCAGCTTTATATAGCAAGCCACGGCCACGTGACTCACTGTCTGTAGGAGCGAACCATTTTTGTGAACGGGGTAAACCTAATAAACTGGCCACTGAGTGTGTATTATAATAGGTTATGCATCCCAAATGACACCCTATCTATCGCCTGACTGGCTGAGCTAGCTGGGCTGTGGAATGCCCTCATCACTGGGATCAATGGTGGTGGCAACACCAAAGTTGAGCTCCTCTGCTCTCAACCAATGGGGGGCCTGAATGGATGAGTGCATAGTGCCTGATGTTGGCGCAACAGGAGGTGTGTGGCTGTGTGTGTTTACCCCAGGGGTGCAACACCATGCAGGGCCTAAATCAACAGTAGTAAAACAAAAACTGTAAACGACCAGTGTTTAGATCAAATACCCCTCCTTCACAGGCAGCCTCATCACACCTAATTTTATGTGCATGTAATTCAATTGGCTACAGATCTGAGGGAGGTGTATGAGAAATAGTGTGTTCAAAAGACTAAATGGGTGTAAAACTTAAACCGGAATATTGTACCTTTAGTATCTCTACGGCAGCAGCTAATGTAAATGTGCATTAGGAGGATGTAACCTGACAGGCGATGTATTGAAGTTACTGCAGGTAACAATTGAGAGCATCCTGTCGGGCTGTATCACCGCCTGGTACGGCAACTGCACCGCCCGCAACCACAGGACTCTCCAGAGGATGGTGCGGTCTGCCAAACGCATTACCGGGGGCAAACTACCCGCCCTCCAGGACACCTACAGCACCCGATGTCACAGGAAGGCCAAAAAGATTATCAAGGACATCAACCACCTGAGCCTCTGCCTGTTCACCCTGCTATCATCCAGAAGGAAAGGTCAGTACAGGCGCATCAAAGCTGGGACCGAGAGACTGAAAAACTGCTTCTATCTCAAGGCCATCAGAATTAAGTTGCCATCTCTAGCACATTAGAGGCTTCTGCTGCCTATTGAAATCACTGGCCACTTTAAGAAATTGAACACTAGTCACTTTAATAATATGTATATACTGTATTCTATAATATTCTACTGCATCCCAGTCCATGCCGCTCTGTCATTGCTCGTCCATATATGTATATATTCTTAATTCCATTCCTTACTTAGTTTTGTGTGTATTGGGTATATGTTGTGAAATTGTTAGATATTACTTGTTAGATATTACTGCACTGTTGGAGCTAGAAGCACAAGCATTTCGCTACACCTGCAATAACATCTGCTAAACACGTGTGTGTGACAAATAAAATGTGATTTGAGGTAAAGGCAGAAGACAGGAAGAGAAGAGGGCTAGGATCTCTTATCTCCTTGGAGGTGTTCAGATACAAAACAAGAACCTGTAGTGCTTTTGTATTTCTAGTAAGCACAGTCAGTCACAGTGACATTCTGTTAACATTTCCAATCCCACTTATGCGGGCGTGACACCTACCGTCAGGCACCTCTCTATCGCTAATGTGCTGCAGGTACGGGCCGGTGTCGTCACTCACGTCCGTGCTTAGTTGGTAGTTTTCCTGGCGGTCCGCCAATTGCCTTGGTAGTTTTGGGCTCCCCTCCGGGGACACGCAGCATGCTATCGTATTCCCCATTCCACACTAGGGATAACCTCAATACTATTTTACATCCAGCGTAGTGCAAAATTCCTTAAAAATCAAGGATGCTTGCTAGCCTTAACTACCAACATACGCTTATGATTCAGCTTTTTAAAAAAATAAAAAACGTCTAGAATGAAAACAGAGAAATGCTTAAATTATAAACAAAGTTGCTGCCAAGGAATATCAATAATTTGCACTTCTGCTCGCATGTGCTCCTTCCGCCCCATCCATTAATCAGATTGCTGGCTGTGCAACAAAAATAAAAATCGATGTTTGTTCAAGTATGCTACATTATTTACATAGAGTAAAAACAAGGTTGCTCGCTTAACTCCAGAAATAATTTGTAACACCGAGGTCATCAAGAAGCTGTTTAAACCCGAGCAATACAAGTGGTTGCCCATTCATCCATTGAACATTCCTTTACATACAAAGTCAGCTAGCCAGCAAGCTAGCTGTTGCAGCAACGGAACATTGTCTGTAGGAGCGATTAACTAGCGACCTAGCTAGTCCCTTTAAACAATATAACAACTACTCCACGCATACGCAACTAGTTTCCAGCCGTCGATTCCAAATAGTTTCCAAACAGGGATTCCCAATTGTCCGAGGTAAATTTGATCTCTCACGCCAGTCCCTTCTTTGATTCCCCACCCGCCAGTTCTGCGTACCGCTCCTCGCCACCACCGCCATCTGTTCCGAACACCACTACCTGGAATGCACAGTTGTTCCAACCACTTACAGAATTCCTTAAATTACTATTGGGCGTGTAATCAAAACGAGGTGAATTTCTCAATGGTCATGGGTTCAAAAATGTGTCAGTTGAAATGAATTCTGAACAATAAATATATTCAGAGCACACATCTTCATCCTTATTAGTCTTTAAAATATGAAGAATGAAGAATAACAGTCTCCCATCGTTCAATGGGCGGATTCGATCATTCTGAGCCGCGGGACACCGGTCCATGGCCCGTGACGTGACCGGGCAATGGCGGTGAGGCATGAGTGCCCTTCTCAAATCGAACAGTAATCTGCGTCGCTTGGTCATGTTGTCAACAAGGCAGCATGGTGCATCGTGCAGAATCATAAAACATATATTTTCCATAAAATATACACTCACCGGCCAGTTTATTACTAAAACGAATGCAATCAACTTTCACCCTGTGCAAAACACGCCAACCGAGCGCCCGAGACAGATTAATCGAATCCCCTCATTGTACATGTCAATCAAGTTATTCCACCCATATAAGGACAACCTCTTGTTTAATCGTCCATTTGATTGGATAAAACCAAGGAAAAGGCCGTACCTCAATTATTCTTACAGAAACAGTGCCTTTATATTGAGCTCTTCATTCTGAACATTTTACAATTCTAATTAGAAGACGCACAGGTCAGAAATTATACACACAGGGTTGATACCATTTTGATTCTGCTGCAATTTTCAAATATCACTGTATAAATGGACATACAATACCATATGTAGCTATCAGAAGAAACTCAGGCAGAGTTACAAGTGGGCCTTTGAGTTGGATTAAAGATCCTAATTGCGTACTGTTGTTTTGATTGATGTCACTTGTGTGTAATATCATCTGGGATCAATTGATTCTCTATACCATTGTCAACCCAGCTATTAACCCTAAGAGCTTCGTCAGCAAGTCTGTATCTAGACAATGATGTACGTGATTAATGACCAGTGTTTGGGAAGATATTCTGAAAATATAGTTTACCAAACTACCAATTACTTCACACTGGAAGAAGTTAAGCTGCACTAAAGCTAAAAATATATATAGTTCACTACATCCAAACGACTTTGTGAAAAATTATCAAATGTAAATCTGAAATGTTATAGACGACAAATTGCAATAACTAAATTACAAATAATTAATAATTTAGCCTATTAAACACAAAAACGATTTTCAAGTGAGAATCAGGAAGGTTTAATGCCGAAAAAGAAAGGACATTATTGCCTATTTTACCCATATTTTCTAATTATTTTGCCAAAAGAGTAGTGTAGTTCCAGTAGTTAGCTACACCACTACTTGACAAAAAAAAGTGATTAACTACTTAAATTATTTCTAAAGCGCTTTTCATTATACAAGAATAATTGCATAGTGCATAAAATAAAAGTTAAAATAGAAAAATAGTAAGAAAACAACAAAGCAAATATATATAACCATATCATAAAGATAAAGATGAATCTTAAGGCCTGCTTTAAAAGCCCCAACAGTCTGAACAGCCCTGAGATTGTCAGGAAGGGAGTTCTAAAGGCATGGTACTGTACGTGGGAGGAAAAGTCACCGTCCCCCATTTTTAGGAGCTGGGTCCTGGGTGCATGAAGCAGTTTTGCGTGGCTTGACCGTAGGATGCATGGAGGTTCATAGGGGGAGAGTAGATCTGACAGTTTTATATATATATATTTTACCTTTATTTAACTAGGCAAGCCAGTTAAGAACAAATTCTTATTTACAATGACGACCTACCAAAAAGCAAAAGGCCTCCTGCAGGGACGGGTGCTGGGATTAAAAATAAAAATATAGGACAAAACAAACATCACGACAAGAGAGACACCACAACACTACATAAAGAGAGACCTAAGACAACAACATAGCATGGCAGCAACACACGACAACACAGCATCCACATGACAACAACATGGTAACAACACAACATTGCAGCAGCACAACATGGTAGCAGCACAAAACATGGTACAAACATTATTGGGCACAGACAACAGCACAAAGGCAAGAAGGTAGAGACAACAATACATCACGTGAAGCAGCCACAACTGTCAGTAAGAGTGTCCATGATTGAGTCTTTGAATGAAGAGATGGAGATAAAACTGTCCAGTTTGAGTGTTTTTTGCAGCTCGTCCAGTCGCTAGCTGCAGCGAACTGAAAAGAGGAGCAACCCAGGGATGTGTGTGCTTTGGGGACCTTTAACAGAATGTGACTGGCAGAACGGGTGTTGTATGTGGAGGATGAGGGCTGCAGTAGGTATCTCAGATAGGGGGGAGTGAGGCTTAAGAAGGTTTTATAAATAAGCATCAACCAGTGGGTCTTGCGACGGGTATACAGATATGACCAGGTTACAGAGGAGTATAGTGTGCAGTGATGTGTCCTATAAGGAGCATTGGTGGCAAATCTGATGGCCGATTGCTAAAAAACATTTAGGCGCTCGAGAGCACCCTTACCTGCCGATCTATAAATTACGTCTCCGTAATCTAGCATGGGTAGGATGGTAATCTGAATCAGGGTTAGTTTGGCAGCTGGGGTGAAAGAGGAGCGATTACGATAGAGGAAACCAAGTCTAGATTTAACCTTAGCCTGCAGCTTTGATATGTGCTGAGAGAAGGACGGTGTACCATCCAGCCATACTCCCAAGTACTTGTATGAGGTGACTACCTCAAGCTCTAAACCCTCAGAGGTAGTAATCACACTGGTGGGGAGAGGGGCATTTTTTTTACCAAACCACATTACCTTTGTTTTGGAGGTGTTCAGAACAAGGTTAAGGGCAGAGAAAGCTTGTTGGACACTAAGAAAGATTTGTTGTAGAGCGTTTAACACAAAATCCAGGGAGGGGCCAGCTGAGTATAAAACGGTATCATCTGTATAAGACTGTATCATCTGGGAGGCAGGTCCTATGCCATTTAGGGCTTTGTAGACCAGGAGGATACTTTTTAGGTCAATTATTTGAGGGACAGGTAGCCAATGGAGGTCAGCAAGGATGGGGTGATGTGGGCAGACTTTTTTGTTTTGAATGAGTTGTAATTTATCAATTGAGTTTGCAGGCAGGCCCCCAAGTACTGCATTCCCATAATCAATTCTGGAGAAAACGAATGTATGGATACGCTTTTCTGCGTCAGAAGAAGTGAGAGAGGGTCTTAGGCAGGACATTTACAGATGTGACTAATGTGGGCATTGAAGGAGAGAGCAGGTTTGAATTTCACACCCAGGTTGGTGATGACTGAGGAAAGGGGGGGTGATGTGGCCATCTATGGCAGGGTGGATGCTGCAGGGGTTGGTGATCAATACATTGCCTCTGTATTGCTGCTGTTGAGTTGGAGGAAGTTGTTCTGCATTCAAGACTTAACCTCTTCCAGACAGTTGGACAAGGTTGACAGAGCAGATGTTGTGTCAGGCTTGGTTTTAATGTACACCTGTTTGTCATCTGCGTAGCAGTGGAATTGGACACTGTGCTGTTGGAAGATCTGGCCAAGTGGAAGCATGTAGAGCAGGAAGAGAATGGGTCTTAGCAGCGACCCTTGTGGTACACCGCAGGTTATGGTGGACTCCTCAGATCTTGCCTCACCGAAGGTGACATACTGCTTGCGATTAGAGAGGTAGGAGGTGAACAGATGGCAGTGTGCTCTCTGAGGTGCTGCAGTACAATGGTGTGATCTACTGTGTTAAAAGCAGCACTGAGATCCAGAAGAATCAAGATGGTGGGGGATCCTTTATCTGCAGCCATGAGCAGGTCATTAACAGCCTTCACCAGGGCTGTCTCAGTACTGTGCATTGGTCTGAAGCCAAACTGGAGAGCTTCATAAAGCTGGTTAGTGCTGAGGTGTGAGTGAAGTTGAGTTTCCACTATCTTCTCTAGGACTTTAGATATAAATAGGAGGTTGGAAATAGGTCTGTAGAGGAGGTCTGGGTCAAGGGATGTTTTTTGAGCAGTAATTTTGAATAGTGACGGCACCTGCCCAGTGTGGAGGGACTTGTTGCACAGATTTGTTCCAAACTGGATGAGAGCAGCTGAGCATGTTTTGAACAGTGATGTTGGAATAGGGTCGAGGGGGCCACTGGTAGTTTACATGTTTTAGATGTGTTCTAACACAGCAGCAGGTGAAACCAGAGCAAAGTCACATAGAGGATGAGCAGATATGGGTGGTGGGGTAGGAGCCAGAGTGGGGTTAGATTTGGAGGATACAATGTTCTCTCGGATGGTGTTAATTTTAGCCTTGAAGAACTCATGTTTGGTAGTTGCTTTGGGAGGGCCACAGT